TTATATTTTATTTTTATTTATATCTTGTTCAAAAATCTGATAAATCTCGAACAGTTACCAAAAATATTTTTTTAACCACAGGAAATTTTAGATCATTTTTTTGATGATTATTATTTGTTGACCAATTGAAATTTTTCATTTTTATATAGATTCATAGATCATTTGTTTATCTGTTCCACTAGATATTTTTCGATCAGTTTATTTCAAACTTTTACTAAAAAACTTATGAAATTTCGCAGAAAATTTTTGTAAATTTTCTTTTTTTCTTTGATACGAACTCAAACGAAGAGTTGATTTTCCTATCAATTAACTTACTTTTAATCATGTCTTTGATAAAATAGTTATGAAAAGTTTAACTGCCCGAGCTTGAAACTATAATTTGAAAGTGGATATAGTTTCATTCTAAATTTAATAGCTTCTACTAAAAGATGAAACTTGCGCTGCACATAAGTTCAACAAGAAGAATCAAAGTATGACAATAATATACTGCAAATTACCGATATAATCTGTTAATGTCTTTGTTTGATGTTAAAATAGGCATTCTGCACATTCAACAATACGAATTAAAAGGTAAACAATTTCTTCTTTGAAAACTAACGGCTACCCCAGAATAAATGGCCGTATTTCGCATCTCATTTATTTTATATTATTAAACAAACAATGTATAGCAAAAAATACAGTGTGAAAAGCTCTATAAACTGCATAAGACTACTTTTCCTTAAATTGTACTTTTTGTTTTCAGAAACAGACGAACTTCCGACCAGTCGAATTCCAGAAGTGCGAAAAATGGTAGCAGTGAATCTTGCGTTTTTTGAAATCAAATACAGTAAGTTTTAATATGAAAAGTGTAAAGTTTTTCATGTTGAATCTAATGGAATATTTTATTTTATTTTTAAATAAGAGATCTTAGATGATAAAAAGATGAAATAAGGAAAAAACGAATATATTTTATATACAAATATATCGTTTCCACAAGGTCGAAATTCCATCGATTATCAAACTTTAAAAATAAAAAAGTACAACTATAAATAAAAAAGTCTTATGTAACCTGTAGAACTTGTCAAGATGCATCTTTTAATACATTTTCCTTTTTTTTAAAATAAAACATGCGAAATGGGAAATAAGCGAAAAAAATTTTGATTATTTATTGACCAACGACTTTTTCGCAGCATCGAAATCTGACCACTCAAAGTCTTAACTACTTTGAAAGCAAAAGTTGTAATTGCAAGAAAAGTGATTTTATGTACATTGTAGAGCTTGTAACGTTGCATCTTTCGTTATATTCTGTTTTTTTAATACGATAAAATAAATGATAAATAAATAGGAAACGAAAAGCGGCCATTTATTCTGGAGCACCATTTACTATGCTATACCGAATGAGAAGTGCTGCAATGAGCTCGTAAGACGTTTAATCAAACACAGTGGAATTCAAATCAACTTGCGATGACCTCTTTATGAATAATGTTTACAGATTATATCTTTGAGCAACTTTACTTTTGGAATATTTGCAATTCGACATTTTTATTTCTACCTACGTTATGGGAATCGTAAAAAAATACGCCGGATCAAATTCAGTGAAACTCAATTAAAAGAAGAAAAAACCTATATACTAACGTTTCAATCGAAAAGAAACTAAATGCTATAACTAAGTATTCCAAGTACGTCTAACTAAGTCCGATGTTGATTATTAAACAAAACAGATGTCAATCAAGAAATGTTAGAACTTAATTTTAGTATTGATTATCAATTATCAATTAACAACTTTTTTTTCATCATTAGATTCAAGAAGAAAGATCTATTGAAAACAGTATTTTTAGATGCAGAAAACTGAACTTACGTTAGACTCATAGATCAGTACAGAATTTACGTGTAAATAAATAGCGTAAGACCATCCATTTCGTACGACTGCTAATTCAATTATAAAATCATACGAAAACAATCGATCAATACCCTTCCTTTTATGACAAGAATTGGAGTTTATCGCTTTTTTTTCTTATTGTTATCTAATCTTTCAAAATAAATTAATAGAACATCTTGTTAAAATAAATAAAATTTTAAGCGATACCTCTATTATTTGATCAACTAAAGAATTAAAATAGGCATGAATAAAATTTTTATACACTGATGAAAAATATTTCTAATAACAATGTGTATGTAATCGTAGATATCGATTTACGTTCTCAGTTATATTTAAACTTGATCAAACGTTATTATATACGGATGATATTGAAATTGATTTTCTGTATGCATTGTATGAAAATTAAAGACTGTTAACTGATAATTTTATTTATCAACAGGACAGAAAAAAACTATTATATTTAACATCTCACTTCACCTGATTTTTCTCTGTTTTAACCAAACATTAGGTTTTGCAAGAAAATAGTCAATAATGTTAATCTATCTGAAAGAATAGATACATTCATAATCTAGGGTGTGGGTGAGTGTGGCTGTGTATATGAAGAAAATGATACTCATATCCACATCCAGACCCACACCCTCCTATGTTCTCCTTTCGAATTCGAAATTTCAAGTGATAATGATTTCGTTTGAGGATATATTTAGTCAGTATTATGAAAAGGTATCTTTTTGATGATTGATAAAGAAAAACGAAAAAGTTTTTCATGCAATTATAAGTGACACTGATGAGTGGTAAAAGGACTGAATCGAAACGCTGCAAATTCACTCTTTTTTATTTACGTTTTATAGTAATTTTTTCATGTGAATAATAACTGATCGGATAGATATTACAACGATCAGAAAGAAAAGAATAACAAATTACTTGATAAATTATCTTACGAAACATGTAATTGCTAGTGGCTTAAAATACTAAACAGTACTATGATCCTTTCCTTCTGTTATTTGAATACTTGGACGCTTTATATCATTCTTTATACTATTTTCATGGGAATTCCCATTTGGGGTGTGAGTGTGGATGTGGGTAGGTGTAAGTGTATATATAATTCTTCTCTCCGCCCACATCCACACCCACACCCACCCCCATTCTTCTATAAGAAAATATACAATTTAATAATTGTACAGATCTGTTTACGGAGTGATCCAACAATGTTGCATACTTATTCTGTTTAAATAAGGTTTTAGTGGAATTATTAAGTGCTCTTGATAATTCGAAACCATTTAATTCAAGAAGCTTTTCTTCCAAATAACTAAGATATCAGTTTTTATAATAGATGAACACATCAGATAAGTGTAATATACATTCAAGAGAACATCGATCGCATGTTCCTGTACATGTTTTATACTTGCATTTAGTTGTGTGGCACATTTTTTTGGGAGTTTTCTTTTGCTCAAATTATATGTACTTCTGTTTTTTGAATGAATTTTTATTGAATGGCGAACGATATCGATATTGTCATAAGTCTATGTACAATGTAACGAGTGTCGTCAGAACCCTAACACCATCAGAATTTTTCCCATGATAAAAACTGTACCTGCCAAAAATCTCTTATCTCATTCGACTCTTCTCTGAATGGTTACATGCCATTATTAACGAGATCAAAACATATAAAGTTAATCAACTATTATCTCATTGTACCAAGTTAATAAACAATCTATTTGAATTCAATAGAACGAATTGCATAGCAACTCTGATTTCAACCCTGTTTCAGTGAAACAAAATTTTCTTTATGTTGATGACTTTCTTCCATATCTTCAGTAAGATAATCATATCATATGGAAACAGCCTTAGGCACTACTTAAGTATTTTCAGTCATTTCTGTTGCTTGCGCTTCTTGTTTTCGTGCATTATACACATATGCATAAAATTCAATTTTTTCCCAACTGCATTTCCGAATGAGTCCCAATCAAACAGATTATCATAAACCAACCATGCCCCCAACCATTACACATGAAAACCAACTGGCACTGCAAGCTAACGAAAGGAATCCTCCCTTTGTGCTTTTTATCTTTTCTACAAACTAATTTACATTTCCGATTCTTGATACCTATTTCAGAAATATTACATAATCACGTTCTGTTTTCATCTCCATATTCAAACTGAGCGTCACAAGCCTCATATGAAGCAAAAAGATCAAACAAACAACTTCAGACAAGACAAACCATACTGAAAATCCGTACCAGTACGTACAATCATACCTTATCAATCAAACCCATACCATTTCATATTAGGCTAATATAATACTATTAATCTTCTTTATTTGTTCCCATAAAACCTACCGACTACACAACATTGTCCACGCTCCAAGTGTACGTTGATACCAACGGGCTTACACCTCATTAGATTTCTAAAAGTTACTCGAACTTCTGCAGAGACTTATCCAACCCAAAAATATCTTTATCTCGATTCATGTCCAACAAAAGTAGAAACGGATACCAATAGATCAGCTACACAAACATACTGAACGAACGGCATATCTAGCCTAATTCTTTGCGTAAGGAGAATGAGCAGTGTAGGTGCACTGGTGGATGTTCTAGATAGAGGAATTTTTATGATCCAGGTGAACAGCATGTCGTTGTGTACTGTTTGAGGCAAGGTCGAAGGAGACGACGTTGTTTCCTGTGAATTGTGAGGTTTGACGGATGTGGTGTGGGTGAGGGTCGTGGAAGTATGCCGTATGCTTGCAGAGTGTGGAATAGAAATTTTATGTGAATGTTGTGATTTTCTGCGGCTGAATAACAGTGTAATATGGTTCTCCACTATAGTTTGTTGTTATCTCACTTCACAGTAGGTATGTTTGGGTGGGTGTGGGTGTGGATGTGGGTGTGGGTGTGGGTGTGGGTGTGGGTGTGGGTGTGGGTGTCGGTGGAAACCGTATATATTCCACGATCACTCACCCACATCCCACACCCACACCCACACTCACCCACATCCCACACCCACACCCTTCATGCATAAATAATGATTAGGTAAATATAGTAATTCGATACAACATCTAGATATTCATATATAGTTTATTATTAAAAATATAATTATTTTAAAATCTTTAATAGATTTAATTTTTGTTAATTGATGATCTATGAGTTTAATTATTAGTAATAGTATTGATTTGTCGTTGTTTTCGTCTTTTTTTCCGATCAATAAATAAAATAATATTCTCTTTTATTTCCGGTACAGCAAACATACAAACGAAAGGATTGGCAACTACACCAATATACATTACATTAATCAGAATCCAACTTGATTGTAATTCAAGCGCAATTTCGGGTGGAGGATTATTTGTCATAACAATTGAGAAAGCAATAATAAATGGCATCCAACCAGCAACATGTAACATTGATACTGATAGTAATTGTATTAGCATTTTAAGATTTTTTTTCCAAACATTTAGTAACATTCGACGCTTTTGTTTAATAACTCTAATCATAAGAATAGCATTGAACCCAACTATAATAGATAATGGAATAATTACTGTAAAAATAAGATCAAATGTTCCATTTGCAGGCAACAATTGATAACATGAGCCACCACATATTTGTATTGTATAATCGAATACTTCCTCACATGGAGCAAATATAACTGCTGCACATGAATAAACAACTGCTGTCAATGTTAATACTATCATTGGAACATAATGAACCGATATCTTATGACTATATTCAAAAAATTTTTTTTTAAATCAATTTAACAAAAATCAAATCAAATAAATTTACCGATTTAAAAATCTTTGATGAAATATCAATAAATATCTTTCAATAGATAAATGAGAATTAAGAAATAAGATAGCTGTATTCAAACTGTAATTGAATGATATCCAAAATTTACAAAAGCCATAAGACTCAAATGACACACGACCCGAACTAAGATATTTCAGTAAAAATGGCATTTCACATGTTGTCTGAAATTAGAAATTTTATTTATTATTTACATATTTTTGTTTTAGTTGTAGTTATAAATTGGAATATCTTATCTATTTCTTGGGGCAAGCAGAATACTACCAAGCTGGTGCACAGATTGCGGATAGTGGAATGGCTATCAGTATGATGGTTAGCTGCGAATAAGATCAAGCAATTGATCAAATAAGCAGTCCCGGACAATTCAGCTATCTAGCTAACAGGCTGTGGTGGAGTTTTGGGTGGCACCAAAACATCTATAAAATGCCACAGAAATCCAATGACGGCAAGATGATACGGTGAGTAAAGGCCGCCCGAAGCAAGGTTCACCAGAGCTAAGTTTTCATAAGCCTTAGCCAGCATATTCCACCATGGGGATCGTAATCCTAAGATTTCTGTGTTGGTCACCAGTCCGGAAAAAGGAGGAACGTTAGATAGAAGGGTTGCAGATACCGCTATCTGTAAAAAAACTTCAAGACGGCAAAACCAAAGATGAAAGTCAATATTATTGTGGATGCGATAAAGAAGAGAAATCTACAATTATTTGGACACATTAGTAGAATGGATGAGAGCAGGCTAGTATAGCAAGTGGTATTCTCTAGAACGGATGGAAAATCTCGAGTTGGTCGTCCTGCTACAGAATGGTTAGATGATATCACATATTGGTGCGACTGCAATGTACAAGATCTTTTCCATCTAGCTCAGAATAGAAAAGGATGGAAAGATCATTTACTTTCATATAATGATCCCGACGGAAGATAATCCTATGGGACTTATTTATTTATTTATTTATCATCTATTTAGTGTTTATTTTAGAAATGAAAATCTGAACTTTAATTCTCTCTCTTTCTCAATTATTTCTTTTTATTTATTATTCAATTGAATGATACCAACACTATTTACTAATAATATGTTTCAATTTAAACAGAAAACTATCTTTTACATTTTCTAAATTCTCAAATTAAAATAATTCTGAGAAATTCGGTTTCAGCCGCGTAGAAAAATTTAGAAGAAAGTCTATAGAAAAAAAAACGAAAACAAAATGTCAACATTTACAAAGATTCTTAAGTAAACAGGCTGACTCACAGTGTCGATATCAGTACGAGTGTTTTTTAAGCTCTGGTCTGTTAACTGTTTCTCTTGGTGTTTCTTTCAGTTGTCGACGATAGTGGCATAGTCAATATTTCAGGCTAGATGGGACTGATTTGGGTAAGAGGGAAAGGAAAAGCTCACTCCTTCTACAAGACATATGAGCCCCACTTTGAGAATAAAATATATGCTTCAAAAATTCATCGTTGGGAGAAGGGACTCAAAAGGTTCTCGACGGGAGACTGAGTGCCATCCAACCCCATGACTCCGCCACTATTCTGTGATCGTTAATCTATGTGATACCTTGAGGGTGTGGATTTGTGGGTCTGTGAGTGTGGGCGTGCACTGGAGTTTAGTTCTATAACACTCACATTTTCAACGACATTCACACCCACTACCACCCACATCCACACTCCACACACCCACAACTCCATCCCACACACTCGCACCCACACCGACACCCCACACCCTCACACTCACACCCAAAAACCTTTATTTTTAGGCAATAAATATAATTTTAAATGCTTTTTTAATCGCCATTCATTTGATGAAGTACGTCACTTAATTACAAAGATATTATCGATAGGAATATTGTCGGCAACTGTTTTTCATAAATTATATCATTCTGATAAGCATAACTTGAAATAAAAGAAAATCTTTTATTTCCACTTTTCAACTTAAACTTTAACACAATCAAGAGTTTTGAATAAAATACAAGTTTGGCTTACCTGAATGAAACTAATTATAAATATACCAATAATAATATGATTTGTAAGACGACTTCTCAAATTGTATAATTGAAATATCAAATAAAAAATATATAAAGCAAATAATATTGATGGTATAAGTAATGTACTTAATAATATTAAACAAATATATTGACCTAATTTAACATCTATATGGGATGTTGATGCAGATCCATTTAATATAGTTACATTTGAATTAATATCCATTCCTACATTCATAAACAGATATATATATTAGATGTGCACCAGTGTCAGTAACTGGGTGTGGGGGTTGGTTTGACGTTGGTATGGGTGTCGTTATTGCCATTCTAACTATTCCCGAATCGAAACAACAATCACACCCATATCCATCCAAACAACACCCACAACCACATCCACTCATGCACATCTCCACCGTAGGCATATCAATACTCAGAAAACATGAAATTCATTTATGGCACTCTAAATTATAAAGATTGATATATAGAAATATATGATTAGCCAATGAATTTAGTATCATAACTTATTTCACTACTTCAACAACCTAAAAAATCACTGTATGGCAATATACTAGAAAAGAAAATACTACTCGACTAAAGAACTAAATATCGAAGGACTGAGTACTCAGTTGGACTGGGACCCAGTTCAACAGTTAGAACTGGGACTGGTGCATCCATAATATATATATATGGGGTTGGCCAGTCTGGCCGGAAGCGCCAACTTTCTGTATGTCATTGAACTTCTATACTACTTCAAAATAATAAGATTTTTTAAAAGTTATCCTACTTATGTAGTGCTATTGATTTATCGTTTACCGGGTTATATATCTTTTCAAAATCAAAATACTCAAGCATTTTCACAATAGTTTTTCGTGAAATAGACTATCATGTTTATCGGCTACATAAATTTTCGAATAAAGAGACTTAGTAGTCAACGATGCATTTGAATTCTGCATCAACAAAAAAGAGAAACAATATATCTACAGTCAAATATAGACATCTTCAATATGCACAAATCACTGTGAAAGAGATTCGTGAAGAATAACATATTTTACTTGTTGAATATTCTCTAATGATCTTCTTTCTCTTTTTTCTTTGTTTGTTCATTTTGAAATATTTCCAGTAGAGCGATATAATCATCTATTTCTCATAATGCAATCTTCTTCTTCGCAAGTTGAATGAAACCGTTCTTAATCTGAAGTTTCTATAAATGAATGTCATAGAAATTACACCAATTGCAAAACAATGTTGGTCTGAAAATGTGTTGCTTCTCAAAAATCTGGTTTGCACAGTAACTATTCTCGACATCGTCAAAGATGTAATTATTGTGCACTAGAACTTGAACAAGAAAGACAAGAGCTAAAGGAAAAGAGGTAAAACGAAAGCATGCAAGAACTTCAAATTTTGCATGATGGTAAGTAGTATTCATCATGCAGTTCGGATGTAAATTTCTATTATTAGGACAGTGTCTGTAGTCTGAGTGGAATCTTAGTAATGAGTCCGGTGTACATCACACAGGACATGGTATTGAACAAGTACAACACTGACACAATTTTTGTGAAAAATCGCTGGTAGAATATTGTTCGAATAGAAAACAACAAAAACAAGTACAAAAGTATTTGAAACATTATCATTCTGAACGTTATATAGCAACAGAGTTGAATTTCGGTGGATCATAAGTGAATTTTTTTAACAGCAACCATAGATATTTTCTAATCCAGTATTTATCCGAAATTGGCTTTATTGCTTGATAATATGGAAGATGAAACTACAATTCATGGACATCAACAATATTACAAGTTAATAGTTCATTCGACTTTTATTGCAACTCATGAACCTGAAGATTCTGAACTCTGTAAAGCATATTATCATGCAAAAGGTCCGACAAACTACACATTCAAAGTACAAGTAGCTTGTCAATTTAATCATCGAATACTACATGTATCCACATGTTATCTATGGAGGGTACATGATCTTATGATTTTAAAAGAATCAGGTTTACTAAAATAAACACAAGAACATGTACAAATTATAACTGATAAAGAATATGTTGGTGAGGGTATGGTTGTGGGTGTGAGTTTACGTATAGGTGTGGGTTTGGGTGTAACTCAGATTAATGCGTACACCCACCCAGATCCACACCGATACCCGATACTGTCCTACATCAACACCTCACCGACACCCCCAACCCACGTCTCAGTAAAGTGATCCTCGGCTTAGTGACTCATACCAACGGAAATCTATACAGACGCTTAGCCTAGGAAAACGATCAAAACATACAAAGAAAACAGGAAAATAACAAATAAAAAGTGCATTTAACAGATGGCTGTGGTTGTTGAACAAAAACATGACTATGTTTGTACTATCTGAAATCTCTATACGTCCTTACCACAACACAAAGGAGGATCTACAGAGTAGCAAGCAAAAAAATATTGGTAAAAAAAGTCCACTCAAGCAATAATGACGCTTCTTGAGAAAAAAAGTAAGCTTTACCCTCCAGACTGAGACCAAACAGGTTCTTAACCATCCACAAAAATGAAAGTACACACTACGAAGAAAAGATTTAAAGCAAAAGTCTTTTCAATAAAAAATAATGCTGCTGAAGAAAGAAAATGGGTCTGCTGCTAACAACAGAAACCATATTGTTGCTTGCCGATCCACAAAGATGAAAGTAAAAAAAAACGAGGAAAATCATTAGTGGAAAAGAATGTTCAAAAAATCATAATGCTTTTTCAACAAGAAAATGACATTCTCCGTAACACTTAAAACCATACAGGTGCTTATCGATTCACAAAAATGAAGCTCCACGGTGGCATGATAAGAAATAAGTGAAAAACCATCATAAAACCAATAATCATGTTTCTTGAGAAAGAAAATAAGTTTGGCTCTAGCAACACAACCGTGTTTTAATGTTTACTGATCCAGAAAGATGGAATTGCAGAGTAGCAACAAATACTTAGACGAAAATTGCCGCCAATAAATAACAATGCTTGCAGAGAAAGAAAATGAGTCTTCCTCTAACAACTAAAACCATACACACCCTTGACGATCCGCAAAGATGAAAGTACAGAGCAGAAAGAGAAAAATTAGTCGAAAGTCTCTGCAACAAATAATGATGTTTTTTCAAAAAGAAAATGACAATCTCCATAATGATTCAAATCATACAGGTGCGTATCGATCCACAAAGATGAAACTGGGCGTTAGGATGAAAACAAATTAGAGAAAAAACGCCATCGACCAATAATAGTGCTTCTTCAGAGAGAAAAAGAGTCTGCCTCTCACAAAAGATACTGTATATATGCCTATCGCTCCAAAAAGATAAAACTGCAGAATAGCAAGAAAAAAAAATAGTAGGAAATTGCCTCCAGCAATAATGATGCTTGGAGAGAAAAAAACGTCTTCCTCTAACAACAGAAGATGAACAGGTGCTAAACGATGCACAAAGATGAAAGTAAAGAGGAGGAGAGAAAAATGAACGGAAAGACTCTTCAACAAATAATGATGTTTTGACAAAAAAGAAAATGATTTTCCTCGTAACAATTCAAAACCTACCTTTGCTTGTCGATTCACAGCGCTCAAACGTGACGTTAGCATGAAAAGAAACTAGTGTGAAAGCACAGGAATCGATGGCAATGCTTCTTTAGAGAGAAAATGAGTATGCCTGGAACAACAGGAGCTAAACAAGTGATCACCGATCCACGAAGATGAAACTGCAGAGTAGCAAGTAAAAAAAATTCGTGGGAAACCGCCTTCCATATATAGTGATGCTTGGAGGGAAAGAAAATCAATCATCCCGTAACAAGACAAGTTATAAAGGCGCTTAACGCGATGCACAAAGATGAAACTGCAGAGTAGAAAGTGAAAAGATTGCTGGGAAATCTCCTTCAACATAAAGTGATGCTTGAAGAGAAAGAAAATGAGGGTTCCTCTAACAACTGAAACTATACAGGTGCTTATCAATTAACAAAGATGAAGCTGCATGTTAGCATCGAAATAGATTAGTGGAAAAGCGGATCAACCAATAATAATACTTATTTAGAAAGAAAATAAGTCTTCCTCTAACAACAGAAGTTAAACAGGTGCTAAACGATGCACAAAGATGAAAGTAAAGAGGAGAAGAGAAAAATTAACGGAAAGACTCTTCAACAAATAATGATGTTTTGACAAAAAAGAAAATGATTTTCCTCGTAACAATTCAAAACCTACCTGTGCTTGTCGATTCACAACGCTCAAACGTGACGTTAGCATGAAAAGAAACTAGTGTGAAAGCACATGAATCAATGGCAATGCTTCTTTGGAGAGAAAATGAGTATGCCTGGAACAACAGGAGCTAAACAAGTAGTCACTGATCGACAAAGATGAAACTGCAGAGTAGCAAGAAAAAAGATCAGTGGAAAATCTTCTACAATGAATAATAATGCTTCTTGAGAAGGAAAGTCAATCTGCCTCCAACAACAGAAGTTATACAGTTGGTGGTGACTGAATGAGTAAGGTGGAATTGCAAAGTAGCAAGAAAAAAGATCAGTCGAAAATTGCGTTCAATAAATAATTATAATGGGGGAGAAAGAAAATGAATCTTCCTCTAACAATAGAAGCTAAACAGATGCTTAACGATCCACAAAGATGAAAGTATAGTGGAGGAAGAAAACAATTAGTGTGAAAGTCGTATGAAGAAGTAATAATGCTCTTTCAAAAAGAAAATGGCTTTCCCCGTAACAAATAAACCATAAAGGTGCTTATCGATTCACAAGGATAAAATTGCACGTTAACATGAAAAGAAATAAGTCTGAATGCGCATGAACCGATAGCACGACTTCTTGACAGTGAAAATGATTCTGCCTTTAACAGCAGGAGCTAAACAAGTGGTCACCGACCCACAAAGATGTATCTGCAGAGTAGCAAGAAAAAGAAATTAGTCGAAAATCGCCTTCGATAAATAATAATGTTTGTTCAGTAAGAAAATCAGTCTGCCCTTAAGAAGAGAAAATTTCCAAGTGGTTAACGATCCACAGAGATGGAACTGCACGTCAGTATGAAAAGAAATTAGTCGAAAATTGCCTTCGATAAATAATAATTGTTGTTCGAGATGGAATGAACTTATTTGTAGCAAATAGAAACTTCGTTCGTGCTTTGCATGGTAGAAAGATGAATAGACGGCAGCGAAGGCAAAAAAATCGAAGAAAAACACCTCCCTGAACTAATGATGTTTGTTGAAAAAGGGAACGTGTT